CATGCAGCCTGATTTATTTCTGGATTTCTATTCTGTTCCATCCACCTGTCCTTGTTCTTATGCCAGGACCCACACCGCTTTCATTAGAGGCCTTACAGAAAATTTTAACGTCTGGGCAGCCCATTCCCCTCTGACACTCTCCAGGGTTTTCTTAGGTGTTCATGTTTGTTTCTCTAAGTGGGTTTTATAATCAACTTGTCTAGCACCCTGAGGAAAGAGAGAGATGATGTGTTTATTGGGGCTCCTCAAGTGTGTGCATTAATTCAGGGAGAACTGACGTCTTTGTCATGTGGAGCTTCCCTATCTAAAGACATCACACACCGTTCCATGTGTTCAGGTCTTCTGTGTCTCAGGAGTATGTTATAGTTTTCCTCGTATCAGCATTTATTAAATGAGAATGCTAAAAACCGAGGTACTTTATTTTTGCTACTATAAATATTATCTCTCCCATTAGATCTTCTTGGTTTTTGTGCCTACATATGATTTCTACATGTTAAGCAGCAGGGTATAAAATGTATTAATTCTCTTATTTTTTGTAGCATTTTATCCAATGATTCTTTTGGGTTTTCCAGAAATATAACAACTGCATACAGAGAAACTGAAAGTAGAGATAACGAAAAGGAAAAGGTAAACTCCCGTGTCTGTGGGGTCTCTGTAGCCCAGTTGTGTGGGGAGCACTCTAACGATGACACATTGTGGGGAGTCGCGGGGAGCTTCACTTTGTTCTTGGCTTCGGTGGCAGAGCTTCCAGCATTTCCTGCTGAGTAGGATGCTGGCTTTGGGGATAATGTGTGTGCGTATTTTTAGGTCATGTTACGGAAGCTCTCCCTTCTTAACCATGTCGTCAAATTTACCACCACCCGTAACGGGATAAACCGGCCTCGCATGCTTCCTGATAGGACGCTCTGGGAAGAACGCATCAGCATTTCTGGGCCAAAAATGCAACTCCTGGATTTAACAATAAACATTAGACAAACCCCAGTTTAGGAATGTTCTACAACATAGCTGGCCTGCCCGCTCCAAAGTGGCGATGTCATGAAACAAAGAAATACGAACGGGCTGCTCCAGAGTGAAGGAAGATAAAACGCAGGACAACTGAATGCAGCTCCTGCTCCAATGTCTCATGCTCCAGAATTTTCTTTTGCTTTAAAGAACATTTAAGGGGACAACTCATAGACTCTGGATCTACATACAAAACAGCAGTGATTAGAGAAGAGTGTGTATTGAAGTTAATTACCTATTAGGTTGGTGCAAAGGTAATTGTGGTTTTTGCCATTCAAAGTAATGGTCAAAAACAATTTGGAGAATTATACTCTAGTTTCATAAGTGAACAAATATATTTGTTAAGAAGCAAACACTGTAGTTCATGGGGATAAAAGGGTAGCCTGTCTGTCCCGTACTCTCCGACACCTAGAAAATAATAATGTGTATTTGTGTAATACGCACACATGAGAGAGAAGAAAGCCCAAACGTGGTGAAACATAATATTAAGGAATCTGAGTGTCTTATATGCGAGAATTCTTTGTGCTACCCTCGCCATTGTTCTGTACATCTGAAATTGTTAAAATAAAAGGTTACAGAAAAAAGTATCCACCGATTCCTATGTGACTGGATTTCTTTTAACACAAAGAGGCACCTCATTTGTCAAGTGCTTTTTCCACATCTATGAAACTTACATGATTTCTCTCTATGCATTAATGGATTCTAATGTTAACCATATTTGCATCCCTTGAATAAACCTCTAATTATCACGATGGTTTTTGTTTGTTTGTTTGTAGAGATGGAGTCTCACTCTGTCGCCCAGGCTGGAATGCAGGGGCATGATCTCAGCTCACTGCAAGCTCCAACTCCCAGGTTCAAGCAATTCTCCTGCCTCAGCCTCCCAAGTAGTTGGGACTACAGACCTTCCACCACCACACCCAGCTAATTTCTTTTGTATTTTAGTAGAGACAGGGTTTCACCGTGTAACCCAGGCTGGTCTCGAACTCCTGAGCTCAGGCAATCTGCCTGCCTCAGTCTCCCAAAGTGCTAGGATTACAGGCGTGGGCCACCGCGCCTGGTTGATTTTTTTTTCTTTTTTTTTTTTTATGTGTTGTGCATGCTTTAAGATTTTTACTTCAATGCTGAGAAATGAGATTAGTCCATAGTTTATTTTTACCAAACTACTATGTTGCCAGGTTTGGGGATCAATATTGAAATCACTACATAAAGTGACATTAGAGGACAGAAAAAGAAAGCCTCGCAAAGCAGTTTAAGTTGCGCTGAAATTGGATGATCTTTAGAGATCTGGAAGACGTTGCATGTAGAATAATCTGCTTGGTGCTCTTTCGGGGAAGAATGTTTTCCTTTCCCCATTTATTCTAGGAGACTTTGGCTCTATCGGGATCAAATTTGGAAAGCTGTAATTTTCTGAAAAACTATCTGTTTCTTCTGTGCTTTCAAATGTATTGAGATTTGGCTATACAAAGTTGACTATTGTATAAAGTGTCCTCTGGCAGGGGCTGCTCCCCGCCCCGCATTTCCAGCTCTGGGCCTCTGGGCTTTTCCTCCATTCACTGCGAGCTGGGGCCTCACATGTCTCTTTCAAAACAGCTTTTGGATTTATTATTTTTATTATTTCTATCATTATTTTCTGCTTTTATCTACTTTTTTGGTTTGTTTTATTGTTCTTTTTCTACCATTTTTATGTAGGTATTTGCATCCTTTTTATATTTTTACTGATACACATATTGATATAATCTTCCTGACAATCTCTCCTGCCATATTTCATAGATTCAGTATGTTGTGTGTTGTGCTTTTAAGAAACTCTTCCATTTTAGTTGGCACGGCCTCCAACTCAAAAGTTGCTTAGTGGCACTTTTTGTTTTGTTTCTTTTCCAGCAAAGGGGCCTTCTGATTTTGTTATTAATGTCTATGACAATGTTCCTGTATTATTTATATCCCTGGGAATTTGAGGGTGCCTATGTCGTCCAAAAAACAATCAGTTTTCTAGAAATTGTGTCTCGTGTATCTAACAGGAAGGTTTATTTTGCAGCAGTGTTTGCAAGTTGACAGAATCTATAGGACTTCCCTCAGGGGTTCTGTGTCTTGACAGAATTTTCTTGTACTTGATCTATCTTAGACTAGGAGGTGGGAGGTCATTCGGTTCCTGATCGTTTTCCATACAAATCCTATAGACTCTGATTTATTAAAATTATTTCTGTACTATTGGATGCTTACAGATAAACAGTGTGTACAGCCTCCCTGCAAATCTCAGACTTTATCAGTGGAGGCGTCTTTATCCTTCAAGACTTTTGCTCTGAATTCTACGTTGTTAGGCATCAAACTTGCAATCTCTGTTTTCTTTTTTTTTTTTTTTTTTTTTTTTTGAGACGGAGTCTCGCTCTGTAGCCCAGGCTGGAGTGCAGTGGCCGGATCTCAGCTCACTGCAAGCTCCGCCTCCCGGGTTCACGCCATTCTCCGGCCTCAGCCTCCCGAGTAGCTGGGACTACAGGCGCCCGCCACCTCGCCTGGCTAGTTTTTTGTATTTCTTAGTAGAGACAGGGTTTCACCGTGTTATCCAGGATGGTCTCGATCTCCTGACCTCGTGATCCACCCGTCTCGGCCTCCCAAAGTGCTGGGATTACAGGCTTGAGCCACCGCGCCCGGCCATGCAATCTCTGTTTTCTAACTTGGTTTGACCAGCCTGCCCTATTCATCCTTCTATTTTAACTTCTTCTGGCTGTGTTTTATTTTTATTTATTTATTTATTTATTTATTTATTTATTTATTTATTTTTGAGACAGAGTCTCACTCTGTCGCCCACGTTGGAGTGCAGTGGCGCCATCTCGGCTCACTGCAAGTTCCGCCTCCCGGGTTCACACCATTCTCCTGCCTCAGCCTCCTGAGTAGCTGGGGCGACAGGCGCCTGCCACTGTGCCCGGCTAAGTTTTTGGGTTTTTTTTTTAGTAGAGACGGGGTTTCACCGTGTTAGCCAGGATGGTCTGTCTCCTGACCTTGTGATCCACCTGCCTCAGCCTCCTAAAGTGCTGATTATAGGCGTGAGCCACCGTGCCCGGCCATGGCTGTTTCTTTCAGGAGTGTCTCTTGTGCAGAGTGAGTGGCTGCACTGCTCTTTGTGAGCCAATCTGTGGCCTCAGCTTGTGGGGCTCTTCCTCCTCTCCACCTTCTGAATCCTGTCCACCTGGAAGAGCTCGGTCCGGTCCTCCCTGCAAGCCCCCCCCGCCCGGCCACCACCGGCACAACCTGACTCTCCCTGCAAGCCCCCCCGCCCGGCCACCACCGGCACAACCTGACTCTCCCTGCAAGCCCCCCCCGCCCGGCCACCACCGGCACAACCTGACTCTCCCTGCAAGCCCTCCCCCGGCACCCGCCCACAACCTGACTGGGTTACTGTTGACTAACTGCTCCCCTCCAGCTTCAGAGCAGCCTGTCAACAGCAGGGCGGCAGGCCCTACAATGTGCAGGGCACTTGCCCATCCTGTCCTGTGTTCTGAGGTCACTGGCCATCCACAGACATCTGGTCTCAACAGATGGTAAATTCTAGTCTTTCTGCATTTAACCACATCTCAGGAAACCAGCTCAGCTCAAAAGGCACACATGTGCCCCATGAATATCAGAAAACTGATCACACACACGCGTGCGTGCACACACACACACAAGCCAGCAGCAACACAGACACCGCTCTTCATAGCTGTTTTCAAATGCAGTTTTCTTCTGCATTTTGTACCAACTACAAACAAGGAAAACTCTATGTTTTCCGTTAGGGAAAACTAAAACTGTACTCTACAGACACACGCCCCTTCCCGCCTCCCCCCCAACGCACCCATACGCGAGCTCTTCACTCTGCAGCTCAGCCAAGTAACATGGGCTTGTCCGCCAGATTCTCTCCCATAGACACCTAACTCTCCAGGTAGCATGGATACCTTCCTGCTTCTAACTTGAGACCTAGAAAAACTCCAGACTGTGGGAGGGACAAGCACAGCTCAAGATTAGGGAAACCTGACAGTCACTCCAAATGCAGGAAAACACTGATCTCACGGAGGAGGGGTGCCTCTGATGCAAAACACTGATCTCATGGAGGAGGGGTGCCTCTGATGCAGGAAAACACTGATCTCACGGAGGAGGGGTAGCTCTGATGCAGGAAAACACTGATCTCACAGAGGAGGGGTGGCTCTGATGCAGGAGAACACTGATTTCACGGAGGAGGGGTGCCTCTGATGCAAAACACTGATCTCACGGAGGAGGGGTGCATCTAATGCAGGAGAACACTGATCTCATGGAGGAGGGGTGCATCTAATGCAGGAGAACACTGATCTCACAGAGGAGGGGTGGCTCTGATGCAGGAGAACACTGATCTCACGAGGGAGGGGTGCCTCTGATGCAGGAAAACACTGATTTCATGGAGGAGGTATGCCTCTCTACCGTAAGTAAAGAAGGTAAGAGAAATCTGAAACGTGCATAATTCAACCATGCCTTGATATTTGAGGGAAGAGAAATTACACTGGTTTTGGGGTCCTTCAAAGGATGAAAAAATCTGATATTGCATCTCAAATACATTTCATGGTCTACTTAGTTTAATTTAAAAAATGCATTTTGGAGTTACAGATGGTACTGATAAAATGAATGAATAATGAATACTGTTATCAAGAGTGTAACTAAAAAATCTGTCTAGTAAGTATTAAGAACAAATATTACACTAGCTAAGAAAAGACTACAAATACAAAGTCATGGGAAAAACACTCATTTAATAACAATTACTCTCAGAATTTGCATGCTTTATGTGCTTTCTATTTTTTCAAGGTGTTTCTAGGCATTTTTAAAAACAAAACAGTGATTCCTAACATTTTTGAAAGAAAAATTTCATTTAAATATAAAAATCGCAAATTCTTACCTGATAGTCTTTTTTAAGAATATATAATTGAAAAAATATCCAAAAACTAAAAGTTATATTGTGTGGTTTTATATCTTGTAATAAATTTGAACTAAAGAAATTGTCGCTATGCACAAGGAAAGAGAATGAAGGAATAGTAAGAGAGGCACGGGGGCCCACAGACCACAGGCGCAAGCGTGGAGGTCTGACAGCCTTTCAACAGCGCCTCTGTCGGCAAGTCCAGGGCCATGTGCAGTGGAGGGGGGTGCATGTCGGGGGAGCACAGGGGCAGAGCCCACAGGTGGGGACACAGGGGATGGGGCACCCCAAGAATCCGTGTAATCCAGAGGGGCCTCAGCTCCTGCACTGGGAAAATGGGGTCCCCGCTTGTGAAAGTCTGGGCTGATGCTTCAGTCAGGTTTCTTACCAAAACGACTCCCTGGTCCACTTTTGCTAAGTGAATTAAAATGCTGCATCCTGAACCAGAAAGCACTGCTGCTCTGCATATAATGTTTATATCCACAGCACCTCCCAAGAGACAAAAGCAGGAAATGCCACCAGCTGAGTGACAGACACCAGCTCTGCCTCTGTTCATCACTGGAATCTTCCAAGGCAGCTGACTTCGGAGACACCCCACGCCCCTGCATCCCCCAGGCTGCATCCCCCAGGCCTGGGTTTTTCAAACTGGCCTTCCGGGGTGTGGTCCTCTCCCTACTCTCTCCCCAGTGGACATTCTCTCCACATGCCACCCACCAAGGACAAGGGCCTCCACACTCAACTTGCCGAGGTGTGGAAAACCCCAGGCGGAGGTGAACTATGTCAGTTACTCCTCCTTTCCCTCCCCCTCTGCTGGAGTTCCCCAACACGGAACTCCCACCAAGTTGGCTGCCCAAAGTGACGTTCTTGTGACGTTCCTGTGATCCCATTCCCCAGCCTTAGGGTAGTAACGATTCTCCCCTCGATGGGACTGTCAGTGCTGTCTCCAGGGACCCTTCTTGTCCCTAATATGCGCTCGGAGCTTCAATTCCTCCCCCGCAGACGGCTTCCCGGACACAGTGCGTTCCCTTAATTTTCAATTGGTAGGAATTATGAAGTCAGCACAATGACTCAGAGACAGGTCCTGCCTTCAAGAAGTAAACACTCAACTACGTGAAGACAAATACTCAAATAATTACGCACCGGTTAGAAAAAGTAGCAAGTTATGCAAAAAGATACAAAGTCCCAGGGGACTTCCAAACAGCCCAGGAAGTGGTGCGGGACGGTGGGCTCAGCCCTGAAGGTGTCCGGAATGGACTGAGCTCACCTGGGGACGCGAGCCGGCCAGGAGTAGTGGGGTGGGCCGGTGAGGTGAGGTCAGAGTCCAGAGGGCCTGGAAGCCAGCTTTCTGGTGAGTCTCCACTCTTAGTAAGGAAAACCCCCGCAGCAAACAAGAGAAGGGAAAATCACATTATGAAATGAAACCTACAAACACACAAACTACCAATCCAGTGGCAGTACCTCCAGGTCAGAGCCAAACAGGAAGATGCCAAGGAGGGCATGGAAGAACGTCAGGGGGAACCGCGGCTGACTTTGGAGGTCTCTCAGGAGAGGGTCCCACCCAGAGGGAGGAAGGAAGGCACGAAGGGCCAGGTGGGCCACCTGGAGGGCGCTGTGCTAACCCTGCTGAACGGAGGATTTCATCAGAGAAGCGCCCGCTCCCACCTTCGAGAAAGGTCACCGCTTGCTGTTTTACAAGACCGCGGTGGGGAGGGACGGGCGCAGAGGCAGTACGACCTCAAGGTGGGAGACGGGGCGGTAGCCTGGCTGGATTCTGGATCTGTTCTGGAGGCACAGCCAAAAGGATTTCCCGGGAAGTCCGATACAGGCATGAGTGAAAACACAGATGAGGACGATGGGGTTTCTGGCCGAAGGAACTGGACGGACAGGTGCAGTGAACTAAGGTGGCTGGAACTGCAGTGGGTGACACGGCTCTGGGAGACCTGTGGGACGCCGGGTGGAGGCTCTGCAGAGGCAGGGCAGCACGGTGCCCAGGGGAGGGGTCTGGACTGGAGCTGTGGACCAGGAGTCATCACACTCAGGTGGGTCACAAGCCAGGGGACTGTGAGATCGCCGAGGGGCCGAGTACAGATGGAGAGATCAGGCAGGTTTAGAACAGGAGAAATGACAGCACCTTTGAGTTGACGGGAATCCGGGGAGAACGCAAACCTAACGATGAGGGAGGATGACTGCCCTGGAGTGGGAAGAGGGATGGGGACATGGACCAGTGTGGGGAGAGCATGCAGGACCCTCAGAGGCAGGGAGGCAGGGGTGTGGTGCAGAGCAGAGGTTCAGGGAAAGGCAGGGGACAGGCAGGGACGCTCTTCCAACCGGTTCAGCTCCATCAAGCAGGAATCCAGGCCACCCATTACACGTGAGGAGGGGGAAGAGGCCTTGGGGGTGAGGGGAGAAGAAAGGCATGAGCTGGTTGTTTGGGGAGTGGCCCTGAGGACCACCCTGAGGACCACTGTGGCTCAGGGCCTGGAGGATCAACGCCGTCTGCCCGGTGGAATGCTTCATGCAGCTGTACTGAGCTATGCTCGGCACACGTGACAGCCACCTACAGACCCCAGTGCAGGTGTGGAGCTCACCAGGGTGCTGGTGCAAGGAAGTCAGCGGGCACGGGAGCGGAGGGGTCAGGGTGCGACGCTGGGTGAGAAGGTAGAGGACTTCACGAGTGAGGCATGGGATAGCACTGAGATGCGGCGCCTCATCCTACCACCTCCCCAAAGACTGATGAAACACCAGTGAGTCAAGCAGGAGCTCAGAAGGTTTTCTGAAGAAAGAAAGGACAAGAAGTAGAGGCAAAAGCACAAATCAATGAATCAAAAATTGGAAAATCCGTAGAACTACATTTTGAAAACGGTTTCTGGGAACAAAAATGATAAATAGATAAACTATTCGCTAACCTAATCAAGGAAAAAAGAGAGAAAGGACAAATACTTAAAACAGGAAATGAAAGGGAAAAGTCACCTCAGAATCAGAGAAGCTTCACAGTGACACACAATTGCTTCACATACCTGTGTAGTGAAGTGTGAAACCCCGGGTAAACGGTGACTCGCAGGGCACATACATCGCACCTAACAGCTCCACTTTCATGGAGGAAAGAAAGCTGTTGACGAGTGGCTCCCTCCAAAGGCATCAGACCCAGGGGGCTAGGAAGGGGGATTCCACCAAACCTTGACGGAATGGATAACTCCAACGGCATTTTACACCCTGGGCATAAGAAGTGAACAACTTCCAAATTCTTTTTATAAAGAGAATGGAACATTGATTCTAAACAGAGACCAAATAGCAGGAATATTACAGATTAATCTCACCTATAAGTATCCGTGTACAGAGTCTTAAGTAAAATGGTATCTAGTCCCCCACTCCTCAGGCGTGGGCTGTGCATGGCGATGTCTTTCCCACGGGAAGGGAAGAGCATCTCCGGGTGCGGAGCCTCGAGGAGCGCGGCCTCGCCAGGCCATCCGGGCAGCACCATGGGGACAGTGGGCATCCTGACGCAGTGTGGGGAGAAGGGACTCTACCTCTGTGGCGTTTCTCCCAAAAACTCATAACCCCAGTCTAATGGGAGAGCAACACCAAATTCCAACAGAGAGAGGCATCCTGCAGACACCTGACCAGCACTCCTCAAAGCTTCCAGCTCACTGAGGAAAGTCTTAAGAAACAGTCTCAGCCAAAAGGACCTAACAAAGAGGACTCTGGTGAAAACTACGGAAACCTGAACAGAAAGAGGACCCCGGTGAAAACTACGGAAACCTGAACAGAAAGAGGACCCCGGTGAAAACTACAGAAGCCTGTACAGAAAGGGGACTCTGGTAAAAACTACAGAAACCTGAACACACGCTTTATTAAATAATGATGTATCCATACCGCTTCATCAACTGTAACAAGTGTATCGTAAACATGTGAGGTGTTAATAATTAGGAAATGTGTGGGGTGTGCAGGACGCCCAGTGTCATTATCGTAACTTTCCTGTTAACTTAAAACTGTTCTCTGAAAATTAAGGTCTATTAGAAAAAAGGATTGTCAAGTAGGTAATTGAACTATGTCACATCTGAAATACAAAAAATATGGTCAATCCAAGTAAAGGACATGGAAAGATTTCCAGGTGTGAACCAGAAATAAAATCCTAAGCCCCACAACAGACCGAATGGACCCTGCTCTTGGCCAAGGGGAACCCACAGAAACCTGAAAGACCAGTTCAGGCCCTGACCAGAGGGAGGGGGTCACACAGGCCTCGGTATTCCCTCCTCCTTTGGAATTCGGGTACAGCTGACCAGCATCAACATTAACACAGAGACAGACCTTAAGACTGACCCAAACTCTTTATAGCAATAAGACACCAAATTCCAACAGCCGCTAGTACAGCATCACATGACAGACAGCAGACCCTGAAAGAAAGTAAAGTATTTGACCCCAAAACGCATTTCTTCGACATGTTTTGAAATGGTCCAGCAAAGCTCTCTCTGGTGGGGAAATCTACATTCCGCAGAGAACCCCTTTCCCTCTCCAGTCCTTTCCTGATCCAGGAGAGATGAACTGAGAGACCGGCTTGGCTTTTAGCTCTGACTGGAGACATTTACCATCTTTTCCTGCTACCTGGGGGCTTCCTCTGCATAGTAAGAACCTTGGTATCTTTCTATGTAAGAACCTTATCTTAACCCAGTCACTCCTCTCTACTGATTCCAGCTCTTTAGGTAGTAACTTAAGTCTTTCAACCAATTGCCAATCAGGAAATCTTTGAATCCACCTATGACCTGGAAGCCCGACTCGAACTGTCCTACCTTTCTGGACAGAACCAATGTATACCTGACATTTACTGACTGAAGTCTGCCTGTAACTTCTGTTCCCCTAAGATGTATAAAATCAAGCTGTGACCCAAGTACCCTGGGCACATGTTCTCAGGACCTGGGGCTGTGTTACAGGCTTTGGTTACTCATATTCGGCTCAGAATAAACCTCTTTAAATATTTTACAGAGCTTGACTCTTAGTTGACACAGGACATATTATATACAAATATCAAACTAGAAAGAAGGAAGGGGAGGGGAGGGGAGGGAGGGAGGGAGGGAGGCAGGAAGGCAGGGAGGAAGGCAGGAAGGCAGGGAGGAAGACAGGAAGGAAGGCAGGAAGGCAGGGAGGAAGACAGGAAGGAAGGCAGGAAGGCAGGGAGGAAGACAGGAAGGAAGGCAGGAAGGCAGGAAGGCAGGAAGACAGGAAGGAAGGCAGGAAGGCAGGAAAGCAGGAAAGCAGGAGGGCAGGAAGGAAAGGACAAACATCCAATAGAATCCAGCATCATATCCCAAGGGTGACTTCATGACTGGCAGGCTTTATGCCAGGAACACAGCAAGAATGTTACAGGGGATTAAATATGGGAATATTCGCTAACGTAATGCCTCATAATGTCATGCCTAAATACAAATGTGAAGATTATCTCCACAGATATTGAATAAACATTTGTTAAATTAAACATTTATTCTTGATTTTTAAAACACTCAAGATGGACATTGGTGGGTAGTCGAATGTGATCTTACACACACTGAAGTGCCCATCTCATGAATGAGCTCTGGGGTGTAATGATCAGCCTGGTGACTGTAGTTAACAATAACGTATTGTGTATCTGAAACTGGCTAAGGGTAGATCTTAAGTGTTCTCACCACACACACAAGCGGTACCCATGTGAGGTGATGGACACACTAATTACCTTGACTGTGGCCTTTACTTCTTTGCAAACATACATCCAAACACCACGTGGTGCACCTTAAATACAAACAATAGTTGTCCATTCATTATAACTCAATAAATATGAGGAAAATTGTTCTTAATTTTTTTTTTTCTTTTTTGAGACGGAGTCTCACCCTGTCCCCCAGGCTGCAGTACAGTGGTGCGATCTCAGCTCACTGCAACCTCCGCCTCCCGGGTTCACACCATTCTCCTGCCTCAGCCTCCTGAGTAGCTGGGAATACAGGTGCCCGCCACCTCACCCGGCTAATTTTTTGTATTTTTTTTTTTTTTTTTAGTAGAGACAGGGTTTCACCATGTTAGCCAGGATGGTCTCAATCTCCCGACCTCGTGATCCACCTGCCTCAGCCTCCCAAAATGCTGGGATTAGAGATGTGAGCCACCGGGCCCGGTCTGTTTTTAATTTTTTTTTTTTTTTTTTTTTTTTTTTTGAGACGGAGTCTCACCCTGTTGCCCAGGCTGGAGTGCAGTGGCGCGATCTCGGCTCACTGCAAGCTCCGCCTCCCGGGTTCCCGCCATTCTCCTGCCTCAGCCTCCCGAGTAGCTGGGACTACAGGCGCCCGCCACCGCGCCCGGCTAATTTTTTGTATTTTTAGTAGAGACGGGGTTTCACTGTGGTCTCGATCTCCTGACCTTGTGATCCGCCCGCCTCGGCCTCCTAAAGTGCTGGGATTACAGGCTTGAGCCACCGCGCCCGGCCTGTTTTTAATTTTAAAAAAATTAAAAAAAAGTACTCATCTCAGCCTGAAGGCCATTATAATATTGTGTAGGGATATTACAGAAGGCAGGGTCACCAAACCTGAACATCACCATTACTATTTAATCACGTCTAGGAGACACTGGACAATCCACTCAGGTGATGAGATGGGAAAAGCTCAAAAATTGACAAGAAGGAAAACCATGGTAATCTGCAGATTTGTTCATATAATTAGATAACATGAACTTTGGTTCATAGGAAAAGGTTCACACTAGCAAGAGTGTCCAGGGAAGCCCTTACCAAGGACAGCAATGAAACGAGACCACCAGCCCCAGTAATTAAAGAAGTGGGAGCCAGAAAATGGAAGGCAAGCAGAACGGAGACAGAACAGGGAGTCCAGAAACAGACTCAAACATGGATGAAAATTCAATCATTTTAACGGTGGCACTGCTGACGGGTGTAGTGAGCATGGATTTTTTTTATTTTTATTTATTTATTTATTTTTTTGAGACAGAGTCTTATTCTGTAATCAAGCTGGAGTGCAGTGGCGCCATCTCAGCTCACTGCAACCTCCGCTTCCTGAGTTCAAGCGATTCTCCTGCCTCAGCCTCCTGAGTAGCTGGAACTATAGGTGCCTGCCACCATGCCTGGCTAATTTTTGGTATTTTTAGTACAGACAGGATTTCACTGTGTTAGCCAGGATGGTCTCGATCTGACCTTGTAATCCACCTGCCTCGGCCTCCCAAAGTGCTGGGATTACAGGCATGAGCCACCGCGCCCAGTCAACATGGAGATTTTAGTAAACAGTGTTAGGATCTCCAGGTCAGAAAAGCAAACTTCGATCCATACTTGACACCATACAACAAAACCAATCCAAGTGGGTCAAAGGTTTAAAGGGAAATAAAATACTAGGAAAAAAATAGGTGAATTCCTTTATAACCTCAGTATAAGAAGACCTTTTAAACTACAACTCAAAAACCAGAAGCCCCTAAATACTGAGATTCAACTACATATTTGAAGTGGCAAAAGAAAAAAAAAAGGAAAGTCAAGACAATGACGATTTGAGAAAAAATACTTTCAAATCAAATCACTACAGCTAAACTCCCTAATTTATAAAAAGCGCAGAGAAAACATTAAAAGATTAGCAACCCAGCTAAAATATGGGCAAAGATAAAAACATAAATGAGAAGCAGCTCAAACTCACGCATGAGACGCAAGTGACAAAAGTCTGCACTGAGAGCAGCTCACCATTCTCAGGCTGGAGTGACCATCAGACATGGACATCAGCCTCTCAGACACAGAGATACACATAATCACACACAGACACACCCCATACATACAGACACACACAGAGATATACCACAGACACACACACAGACACATGACACACACAGCCACACAGAGACACAGACACAAGCCATTTATATAAGAAAAGAAGGATATAAAATATACATGGGGATATTTATTAGCTGATTCCAGCAAATAAAAAAAAAGAAATGACAGAATGAGAACATTTGCAATTCTTAAGAATAAATTGGCCAGGCGCAGCGGCTCACACACCTGTAATCTCAGCACTTTGGGAAGCTGAGGCGGGTGAATCACCAGAGGTCAGGAGTTCGAGACCAGCTTGGCCAACATGGTGAAACCTCGTCTCTACTAAAAATACAAAAATTAGCCAGATGTGGTGGTGTGTGCCTGTAATCCCAGCTACTCGGGAGGCTGAGGCAGGAGAACTGCTTGAACCCAGGAGACAGTGGTTGAAGTGGGCTGAGATTGCACCACTGCACTCCAGCCTGGGTGACAGAGCGAGGCTCTACCTCAAAAAAAAAAAAAAAAAAAAAAAAGAATAAATTAATAGATCTAAGCAACAATGACCCCTGGCTGCCGATGTCCCCGGACACTCACACCCAGAGATCACCCACTCCCAAGATGGAGAGTACCACTCTGAAATCGCCTGAAGAGAAAGGTGCCGTCCCCGGAGCTGCTTCAGGTTCTGAATAAACTAAACACGGGACAGAGACACACGTTAACCGACACTGCTGGGCCCGCGGATGGGAAACCACAGAACAAGGGACTCGGGCCACATGCATGGCCGCCTCGCCGGCCACGTGACTCTTGGCGAGGGTGGGGTAGAACTTACTCAATGAAGACATTGCTTTTTCTTTTTAAAAAGGATTCAAAGTACATCCATCTCATTCCTATTCTTGGCGGATTAGCCACTTAGCCTGCATGTAGCCTTTCTCTTCTCTGCTGCTAAACAGAACCTCGTTTCCTTGAGGTACCTGAAGTCTGAATTCTGACGGCACAGCTCAGTAATATTTAGGGAAAACCCAGTGATCAAAGATCACGTTTGTTCCTAGAAGGAAGGAAGTTGGAAGAGAGGAAGATGGAAGAAATCGTTGCTCGGTGCATCTGTGTGAGGTTCTAGGTATTCTGTGAGGAAGGGCTGGCGCAGGCCCGCCACGCACTCGGCCTCTGGGAAGGAGACGAAGACAGGAGGCGGCGCCGGGTCCATGGCTGAGACACCCGAGAGGACGCCAGCAGCCTGGGTGACCCCAGCAGGGGCTTGGGTGAGGCCCGGGGCCCAGGTCTGTGGAAGTGAGGGAGGGTTTCAGAGGAGCATGGTGGCTGGGCCATTCCCAGAGGAGCCTGCAGCAGGCAGGACCCACGGCCAACAGGGTGGCCACGCTGGGAGAGAAGAACCTGGTAGGCGCCCAGGACGAGCAGCTGCGCGGAGCGGACACGAGGCAGGAGGGTGTCTGGGTCTACACCCTGCATGGATGGTGCTGGGCGGAGCCGCAGACAGACCCTGGGACCCAAGGCTACATGTTTAGACACGGGGACCGGCCAGCCAGACCCATCCTGGCCGTGGGACATTGCAAACGGGCTCCCTCTGGCCATCCCCTCGGACCAGACCCGGCTTCTGGGTCTTCTGGAGTCACTGACCTGGTTTGGAAAATAATGGGCTTAGGCTCCTGAGGGGGCCTTGGCATTAACCACTCACCGCCAGGACAAGCTCCCAAAGACCTGCAGGGGTTCAATGCCAGCCCCATCACCACGCACCGCACCAGCTGACACCGAAGAGCGGCCAGGTCCCAGGGCAGGGGCGAGAGAGGCAGCCGCACCCCCGCCCCGCCCCCACCCCCCAGATTCTGGGATAGTGCTGGGCGCCCTGGCCTGCATTGTGACTGTGGCTTTATTTACACGCAGCTGTTTCTCCAAGATGCCTCCAGCAGAATTCCAGACGAATTCTCCCACGAAATACTTTCCCTTTGAAAAGTGTTAGGTAATTAACACCCCTCAGGTCACCAGGGGCACAGTCCCTGCGAGACAGCCCCCAGGAAGGTGAGGGCGGGAAGAGCTCTCCACCGGCACCAGCAGCAAGAACAGGGGTGCGGTGGGGGAGCAGGAAGCCCGAGCCCCCCTCATGCCTACTGGCTTTCAGTCTAATTTCCTGCTGTAAGAAACATTTATTCTGACAGAGATAAGAAGGTTTCCCCGTGCAGAAAAACAAAAAGAACAAATGGCACATGGATGA